GACTGTTGGTATGGCATATGTAAATCTAGATAAAGTATGCTCCCACTGGCATCTGTTACCACTTTAATAGTTTGGGTAGGTCTGAGCACGCAGAACAGGCTTGGGTGGGCTCAACCAGCCTGTGTGACAAAAAAGTTCAATACCTCTTTGTTAAGCAGCTGTTTACAAACTTATCAGCCAGCCCAGAGTCTTGTTGAGCCAATTAATCACACTACTCCCTAGAAAAGTGTGTGTTTTAAATTTCTCTCACACTAGAAGCCTAAAAGGGTTAAACATGCAAGAACAATAACCAAATCCAACTCTCTACTTCAGAAAAAGGAATATTGAGAAAGTTGTGTTTCACATAACAGTAAATTTGTGATTAACTACATTGTTCAATGCAGACAACTGTGTGAAAGACAAATATGAGTGTCCTACTTTATATACATGTTTCCTATTATAGAAGAGTTCACTATAAATGGAAATCCATGTAAATGTACTGACACTAAAGTAAATAAAGCTTAAAAATCAAAATCATCTAACAACATAAAAGAAAATACTTTTAGTCTTGCTATAAACCACACCTTGGGGTTTTTAGTCAAAAGCATGCCTGAAGTTAGTCACATGGAAATTCCCATACTCAACTAAAGATACGGACTTGGATGTAAATTAATGTGGACCAAAATATACACACTGTCCCAGTGAGAAGTAAATTTTAGTACAAAATGCTTTCGTAAGACATGACATTTATCCTAGAAATGTTTTATAGTCTGAAAAAAACTAGTAAACAAAAAAATAGTTTCATTAAAATATAATTTGTTGACCATCGATAATTGGTATTCAAGTGAAAAAGAAGCTCAGAAAAGACAACTTACAGAATACTAAGTGCTCATATCACAACATGGAAAAAACTTCCATCCTAAAAGAGGAAAAAATGTTATGGCTAGACAACTTAGATTAAACTGCCAGAATTAACAACAACAAAACACCTAAATAGTACCCAACCAATAATTTTAAAACTATTATTCTAATTTTGAATTTTAACTTTTCCTCTTTTTCTAGTCATGTCTAGAAATCTGCCATTTCAATATCAGATATTTTCCTACATTCTCTAGAAGACTACTGTGTGCTTAGCACAGCACTGGGAGATATCTTCAGTCACGATTACGCGAGCACTCTTAGTCAGGCCCGCTGAAGATACAGTTTTAATCCAACAGAATCAGAGTTAGGCAGGCTGAATTTTATAAATCATTTGCTGTATCCAGCAAAGGGAGGTATTGAATCTAGTATCCACTTCAGTGGTCAGCATGAGTAACTGCACGACTGAGAGGTGCAAAGTGGCCATGTTCCAGAGTACAGTCAGACTTAAGGAGCGGGGAGACCTGGGTTTAAATTGTGGATCTTGCTCTTACTAGTTGTGTGATCCAGACAAAAGTATCTAATCTCTTGCAGTCTCAGTTTTCCCACCTGCAAAATGTATCACCTGTTACAGCATTATTGTAAAGAATAAATGAGATGACATACATAACGCACCTGGCATGAGTGTGCCATGTGCTCCAAGTCCTGGCTTTAAACCTTGACAAAAATGCATACATTCCAATATTATATCATCTCTCTAAAAAAAGAAAAAACATATAAATGATATAGGGATAGAAACACTGGATTCCAATATGCATCTGCTGGAAGCAGGTAGAGTGGTAACGTGGGAGGGAAGGGCACCTATTCCCATAATTTAAGGCCTTAGATTCTAAGGGAAAAAAATGTAGCTGCACCCTTCAACATATCACTCAATTCAACTCAATATTAGAAGATACAAAGGAAAAAAAGAAGAGACATTCTTCACGCCTTCATTGAATCACAGTCTAAAAGAGGTTCGCATTGAGTTATGGGCAATGCTGAAATCCAAAAAGCTCTTAACATTAAAAAAAAATTTTAATTGTTTTTATATGTAGATTTGGTGGCAAAACCAATCCTAAACTTGAACTGGATAGAAGCTCTATATAGTCATTTTTCTTGCATTGAGCATAAACATTCATGCATTATACATTTCATTATGTGGTGAGGTCCCAAATCCCACTGGTAATGAGATATAATATACAATGTATTGCAGTAGCTGCTGAAAATACAAAGTATTTCAAATTCCAAAACACACATAGGCCAAGGATTTCAAAGAGGGGAATCTGAACAATTTCTGTTTCAGAAAAAAAAGGTAGAATAACTGTATAAAAGGTAAAATGCCTAAGGTAGGAACTTGTAGTTAAGAATATATTTTCTGGGGCCGGCCCCATGGCCAAGTGATTAAGTTGGCACGCTCCACTTCAGCGGCCCAGGGTTTCAACAGTTCGGATCCTGGGCACGGACATGGCACCACTCATCAGGCCATGCTGAGGCAGGGTCCCACATGCCACAACTAGAAGGATCCACAACTAAAATATACAACTATGTACTGGGGGGATTTGGGGAGAAAAAGCAGGGGAAAAAAAAAGATTGGCAATAGTTGTTAGCTCAGGTGCCAATCTTAAAAGAAAAAAAGAATATATTTTTTATCTTATTTAAATTAGTATTTGCTTAGAACTCTTGAATATCCTATAAAATGGAAACAATAACACTACTTACATCATTGAATTCCTGGAGAAGCAAGAGATAAATGCTTTAAACAATGTCTAGCACCAAGTAAGTACCCAACAAACGCTGTGTAGTAGAAGTACCTAGAAAAATACTCTGAGCATTTGCTAGGAAAAGGCAAACAGGTGAATATATAGCTCAGATAGTTAGTCTGCCATGTACCATATTATATTTGGGAATTTTCTTTTAAAAAATCGAGGAGTTTTTTTTTTCCTATGCCCAGAGGAATTTCTACCATCAGGCCTCAGAGATCTTAGTGCAAGTCATGAAGGCAGGCAGTAATCTCACATGAGCATACAGCATCTGGAGCTGATAGAGCATAATAAGACTTCAAGCTCCTCATGCAATAAAGATATTATTTAGAAAGAAATGAACTATAAAAGACTGTGAAGAGCCACCTAAAGGAATACTTCTGGAATTTAATGTACAAACTAATCAGAGTTTTTGTTAAAATTCAGATTCTGATTTAATGTGGTGGGACCAGACATTCTGCACTCAAGTTCTCAAGCAATCACGAAGCTGCTGGTCTAGAGGCCCACGCTGAAAGCAGGAAGGCCCCAGGGCAGTGGTCCTCAAAGTATACAAGCAACATCAGAATCTCCTGGGAAGTTACTAGAAACGCAAACCCTAGAGCATCAGCAAACTCTTAAAGCTTATTCACCTAAATCAGCTATTTACATCCAGTCAGACAGATTACTTTTCCTGAGAATAAAAGTAGAATATTTTTTAAATATTTTAAAAATAACAGCAGCATACTAGAACATGTTACCTAAACAAGAAAAACAGTTTCTCTCTGCAAAGTTTCCAAAACTATAGCCCCTGCAATTATACTGAAAATGTAGGCTTTTACATAAGAAGGCTGCTCTGAGAATATATAGGAAAAGTATTGAAATGTGTAGAATCCTCAGCTGAATTACTTACCAACTTACAAAATAGGTCATTTCCATTTGACCTAGGTAATAGAAATATATAACTTTGTGAAGAAACCAAACTGAGTTTTATATTTCCTTGTGTTGAGAACATAACCAACCACATCATGGTTTACCCAATTTCTCCAGAGTAACGTTTACACATTGCCTGCCTCATGTGTAAATATATGTCAACATTTTGATTTATAGCTATAGATGATCTGTTTACATACACAGATACACAAATGCACAAATTACAGTATATTAATGGTTTGAAACACAATATACTTGAAGGACAAAAAACTTGAGGGTAAGCTACAAATGTAGAATGTCATGATCAGAGAAAAGATTTCAGTTTTCTGAATGTGAAGCCAATTGATTGTTAAACAGGTTTTCCCAAAATTTTTAAATAAACTGATACATTCAGAATTCAGATCCAGTATTTTTTTTCCACTTCAAAGTTTGAACTCAGAAATTTACCTCTCAATCAAAATCTGAGTACATAGGTCTATCCTTAATCCATTTTTGAAGGAGTCAGTTACTAACAAATTGTAAAGCACCACACTTGCTTCAAGATTGGCATCCCGATTTTTCCTAGAACCATATATATTTAACAGTGGTGCTGTCAGGAGACATCTTTGATGTCACACCAGGGGACGGGGAGGGAGGGAGGGAAGATGCTTTTGCCGTCTAGTGAATATAGACTTGGCATGCTGCAAAGCAACCTACAATGCACAAAACAGTGCCCTCAACAAAGAATCCCCCAGCCTAAAATGCCAATAGTGCCGAGGTCACAAAACTCCGATTTAAATGATGAGGCTGCAAAAATACAGAATGAATGTCCTTTGTGCATCATTACATTCCTAGCATGGTATTAAGCACAACAATAAATATTGATTGATTATTAAAAAAGCTACCTCTGTGTAACTGGGATCTTAGAGTCATAAAGATGAAAAAAGAACGAGAAAGGGGCTATTACCCATGCAATGGCTAAAATTATGTAATAAAATTGTAATCATTATCAGAACCAAAAAGGAATTTAAAAATCGCCCAGTCCAGTTTCTCTATTTTGGGAGAATTCTTTCTCATATGAAAGACGCTGTCTAATGTACTGACATGAGAGTGTTTGCGGGGGGCGGAGAAAGAGGTGTTGCCAGTCCCCTTAGGGGTAATAATAAAATATCTTTATAAATTTATTGAAATATTTTCTCTTCTAATAGTGTCAATGCCCCATACTTTTCTCAAATTAATAAAGTATTTCCTTTATAAAAATTGAAAGGAATGTGACATAAATCATGATAAGTGATATTTCATAAGCAGGAGAAACAAAAGAAATGCAATTACTTTAAAAAAAACACACACACAGAGCTCTGTGGCCTACAGGCATTTATACTTGTGAGAATTCTGGGATTTAAAATGTCATGAGAAATTCTGAACTGGCTTACATTGTTGAAACACAGGAACTGACAGTCACAAGGACAAACATACCCTTAATAATCGATTCAGCTGCATACAGATCTCGTTTGTAGGTCACCTAAAGGACAGATAAACCTCATTAGACTTAACAGAGCAGGAAGGAATGCAAAAGCAATAAAGTTATGCCCCCAAGGAAATTCTTGATTTTGGGGAAACTATAAACACATAATACTGACAAGAGATATTATATGGCAGTGGTTACCAAAATCTTATCAATATAACTGAAGTTATATATGAAAGATAACGTGGTGTTTAAATAAGAGTATTAGCAATACTATCTAATAATAAGCTTTTACGTTGTAGGGAAGGAAGCAAAAGTATGCATAACAAAAATCACCAAATTGCATTTTTAGTTGAAATGAGATCATTCTCAAAAGTCAATTCACATTAAGAGGGACTTCTCTCTGAAATGAATATATCTGTATTCACCCAGACAAGGTCCACCATGTAAATTTTTTATTAACACATGGCTCTGATACCAAGAGCCTAGAGGGTACCACCATATACATACAAACAACCATGATCTTTCCCTAAGAACATACGGTCTCCTTGTGTTTATAACCTGTTCCTTGTAATATAACCTCCCATGGTCCTATGGCAGATATTTCCCAGACCACAGCCAATGAGCTCAGGTGCAGAGCGTGTCAGGTGCATTGCACTGCAGAATTAGTTCTCCTATATCTCAGAGCAGTGGGAAAATACAATAAATAATGAACTATACAAGTAAGTTCTCTAGGGTCTTAAGAGCTCATCATTCAAGTGCCCAGATGATTACTATAGAAATAGTCTAAAAGTCCACTTTGAGAAATACTCTCGAAATTAATACTTTTCTGCACCTATAATTTGGGCTTTTTTTCCTCCAGCTTATCTCATAACTAAACTTGCAGAGAAACTTGGTTCAGCTCAAGTGGTTCAGGCATTTCTACCCAAAACAGATTCCCCTGCTATGCCTTTCTCTGGCAGGTAAATCCTGGTCCAAAACTATACCCTACAATCCAGAATCAAAGTAGCAGCTAATTTGTAAGACAGCTGGGAAGTCACTCAAGCATTCAAGCAATCTGTTTGAAAATCAAATGTGACATGGCTGCATTATCTCTAAAACAAGCACATGCCAACCAAAATTAGGACTACAGTTACTGATCCTCAACACAATTCTATTATCTGGAAAAAAAAATAGAAAACAGGTTCATGCTACGAATTTTACCAAATTAAAGAATGCATTGATCTCATTCATTCATTCAACAAATATGTATCAAATAACCACTATGTTCTAGGTCCTGTTCTAAGTGCTGGGAATAGAGCAATGAAAAGAGTGAGCAAAACTCAACCTGTGGAGGGGCCAGCCCAGTGGCACAGCAGTTAAGTTCATGCGCTCTGCTTCAGCAGCCCGGGGTTCTCTGGTCTAGATCCCAGGCATGGACCCACGCACCACTTATCAAGCCATGCCGTGGAGACATCCCACATATAAAATAGAGGAAGATGGGTATGGATATTAGCTCAGGGCCAATCTTCCTCAGCAAAAAGAGGAGAACTGGCAGTGGATGTTAGCTCAGGGCTAATCTTCCTCAAAAAAACACAAACAAAAACAAAAGAACTCACCCTGTGGAGACTACATTTTGGTGAAGAAATTTTTCTTATAAGAATTGAATAAGTTTTTCTTTTATTTTCTTGAAAATACAAAGTTAACTAGATATCTGAAATCAGGCCTCAATATTTGCAATTTAAATGAGACTCCTTGTTTTCAATAATAATTGTCTGCTGTGTGGGGTAAACTCGGGGGAGAAATTAATGGGAAGATGCCTCATTACCATAATGCATTTTTTATTCCTTCCTGCTTTGAGGGGTAAAACTGCATTCTAAATTAAAATGGAATAATTGTGTAAATATCTTCCTTTTTTTCAAATAGATCTTGATGGGTTTTTCAAGTTAAAGAAAAATTGGTCTCAAATACTAAAATGCTTTATCTAGCACACTTGCAAGGCTAACATTTTTGCAATGGAGTCAGTCTTATAAATAAAATATATGTTTTTATTACCTACAGGTCCTTTCTCCACTCATACTAAATAATTGTATAAACAAGAATTTCTTTTGCATACTTTTTCTTGTAGGCTGGGGATACCCACTATACACATATTAAAGCTTTTTTGATTTTTATTAATATCTTCTACATACAGCCTTAGTGAATACCTCAACTACACTTCTCAACACTGATTTAGTGAAGATAAACTACAAAATATTTGTGACAAACTTGTAAAGTACTGTGTTTAAAAATAGCCTTATCTTATTTTAAATAAAACAGCTAACATACTTCAAAGGGAATAGTACTTGAAAATGTTGTAATTCTGAGATAATGAGTTATTTTTTTCCATCAAACTTTTACAGTAATATGAGTTGGCCTTTCCTTATTTTTAATTTTAAAAAATTTAATAAGCAGTTTTGATTTTCTTCTGTCAGCATGATTTGTAGTTTTCCTTTGACCTTGCACAATACCTTATCATGGAAAATAGTTACCTAAAAAAAAAAATCAACCCTGTAGTGATGGAAGAAATTTCACACTGTGTTCATTAGAGGCTCACGGGCCACCTGAAGACCGATGGAGGCGCACCATGCAGCTGAGGCTCTGGGCCCCACATCTGCTGCTCACCTGGTTAAGCTCAGTTTTTGTCTGTTTTGTTTGACTGTGCTTCTATAAAACATTTCATCTGAGAAAAATGTGTATCAAAAAAAATATATATATATGTATGTATACGTAAATGTATATTCAATAGAAGAGCAACCTGAAGTTGAGAGCCACAGAGGTAGTCATCTTCTCACTTCTAGACTAGAGCTCTCTCAGCTACCTCAAGGTGACTTCCAAGGGACACTATGACCCCTATTTTGTGTTGCTCTATCTGTGGTGACACTTAATATAGTAAATTAGACAGACTTTTCAGAGAAAAGTCTAGTTGTCACCATCTTACATAAGTTAGACTACACTTAATGTTCTCTCATCTTTTACCTCATAGAAAAATGAATATGTAACTCCAATAATGAGAAGAAAGTCAGAAGATCTTAAATTTTAAAGATATAGAATGTTTATTAAATAAAAATTTATATTTGGGGGACATTTATTATATTTATTTCCATTTCATCCATTACGTCTACCCAGAAAATATTCTTTCCTCCAGACTGGATAACTAGATGAAAACCTCTAAAAAGAAACAATGTAACCACATTGTATTTTTGAGGTTAAAAAGCAAAAAGTGAGAATATTTTGTGTCTTTTGTTTTTAACAAAGATGCTAGAACACTTGGATCTTCAAAAATGTAGTTCCCATCAAAAGAAATCCTCAAAAGTCAGTCATTCCAATAATATTGTGATGACTCAAACACTTCAGAAACTCCTTCTAAAGAAGCTCTTTCAGACAATGGAACACAGTTGTTGGATTTCTTCAATAAGAATTATAAATTTTGGCTTATGGTTATAACTTTATAGTTTTAAAATTTATGGTTATAAATTTTTTTATGCTTTAAGAATGGTTTTAACATTTAGAAACGAAGTCTATTCAATTAGGTCTGCATAGTGCAGTAAGTGACCAAGTGTTTCAGTATATTGGCACAAAACTACAGTACAACATAAATTAAAGGAATGGAAGTTCTTATGTAGACTACATGAAATTCCACCAAAATAAGAGTGTGTTCATTAAGGTCTGGCAAAGCACAACTCCTCAGAGAAGGCATGAGAGTCAATCCCCATTACCAGAGTCAGTCCTGTCCTCTTTGTGGTTGGTCACTCTAGAGGAGAGTCGGGGCGGGAGTGGGGGGTGGGGGGGAGTTAGTCATTCATGGAGATGTCCTCTATCCTGCATGGTGATTTGAAAAGAATTGATGTTTTTTCCAGGACACAGAGGAGCTACTGTAGGAAAGCTGGCATCAACTCTGAATGTTTACTTTTTGCATTTACTTCTACAAAAAAGAAAAAAGTAGGTAAAAAAAAAATAATAACCCTCCTGGGATTTCTGGTGGCAATTGAAATAATAGTCCTACATGCAATAATGAGAAATTTCTAGGCATTCCTCACACCACTACGGTGGTGAACTCTGACTATTGAGGGGTAGGGGAAGGCATCCTGGCTCAGAATTCTCTCCTGTCTTACAGTTTTATGGTAGTGAAATGCCTCTTTTTTTTTTTTTAGATTGGCACCTGGGCTAACAACTGTTGCCAATCTTCCTCTTTTTTTTTTTCTTAAGGATTGGCACCTGGGCTATCAACTGTTACCAATCTTTTCTTTTTGTTTTTCTGCTTTTTCTCCCCAAACTGCCCCTGTACACAGTTGCACATCTTAGTCACAGGTCCTTCTAGTTGTGGGATATGGGACGCTGCCTCAACGTGGCCTGACGAGCAGTACCATGTCCGCGCCCAGGATCCGAACCCTGGGCCGCCGCAGTGGAGCACGCAAACTTAACCACTCGGCCACGGAGCCGGCCCCTGAAATGCCTCTTGAAATGCATTTTTCATTGCATCATATCTCTCAATCATGTTCCAGCTACTTGGTCCTTCCACCTGAGTTTAGTATCAGTTTTAGCATAATTATACTAAATTATTTTTCAATATTCAAATTTTTAAAAATGGTAGCATATTTGGAATTGGCATAGAATTAGAAGACTAACTTCAAAGTGCAGATTCCATTGCTTTGATTTAAACAGCAAGTGAAATAAATGATAAGACCACAAAGTTAATTATATTAGAAGCTACACTAAAGACAACTCATACAATGTCATCAAAAGAGGCTAAATCAACATCTAGGAAAATGTAAAGAAGATCAAAAAAGAAAAAGGTGGAGGATGACAAGAGACAGAAGGCAGGAGGAGGAAATAGGGAGCCTGAAACAACTACAATACTTGCACTCAAAATAATTTCACCTCAATTAACAGAAGAAATGTGGTACCTAATTAAGACCTCATCACTGCCATTTGAGACTTCTTGCCCAGTCCATTGCACTACATGCCCTCTTAGCATCCGAGATCCCATTGAGGAACATCATTATTCAAACATCATTCATAGGAGTGGGCCTTCCGGCCTCCCTCCCAGTTTGGAAAGTGATACTATGAAGATGATCCCTCTGGGCCTAAGAGGGTGTCACCTTTGGCATGTGTATTACTTTCCTAGGGCTGCTACAACAAAGTGCCACGAACTGGCGGCTTAAAACAACAGAAATTTCTCTCTCACAGTCCTGGAGGCTAGAAGTCTGAAATCCAGGTATGGGCAGGACCATGAGCCCCTCTGAAGGCTTCAGGGAAAACTTTTTCTCAGCCTCTTCCTAGTTTTATGTGGTTGTAGTCATCCTTGGGCTTCCTTTGCTTGCAGATACGTCACTCCATACTCTGCCTGCATCCTGATTGGCATTCTCCCTTTATCTGTGTCTGTATCTCATCTCCTATTCTTCTATGTTGGATTTAGGGTCTACTCTATGCCAGGATGACTTCATCTTAATTAGATGATCTTGATTAGATCTGCAAAGACTCTCTTTTCAAAAAAGGTCACATTCATAGGTGCCAGGGGTTAGGACCTGAACATATCTCTTTTTTGGGGGGACACAATTCAACCCACAACAGCCTATATGAAATGACTCAGCAGAGGAACAAAAAGAAGCACTTGGAAAGGCCAATCACTGCCTCAGTGTACTGACATTCATTGCACAAAAAAGGGAGGCAGAGTACCAAGGTGGGAGGACTGACACTGTGTTGCTGGAGGAAGCAGTGAAACATGAGATTTCACCAAAAAAATACTGAAATAAATTTGTGAAGATGGAGTGGAGTGCTGCTTTCCTTTCACCTGAAGACCTCAGCGTGCTTTACAAGTTTGAAGGCGGCTCAGAATACCCACAAGAGGTAGATAATCACACACCCTAAGATGTCAACAAGGAGGCCAGAGAGTGTTGACATGTTAGCAGCAATAAATGGTCTCAGAGTTTCCCCTTTTTTTACATAGCCTGCAAATTACATCTAACAGATAGACAAAGGGGGCTCTACAGACATGTGGGTCAGAATCTTTAACAAAATACCTAACTGCTCATTACCAAAATCCTCACAATTAATATGCATATCACCACCTGAGCCACATATAGAAAAGGATAAACAGAATGAATAAAATGTTTGCCTGCTGGGTTGATGACATTTGGATATCCTTAAAAGAGCAATAATACTGCATAAATTTTCTCCACCAGGCAATAATCCAGGCATATCAATGTTTTGGAATCTTAGAACTCACTTTAAATATGTGTGAGCTGATCCTAGCATGCAGCAAGGCCCATCATGTTACTATGTAAAATACCTAACCAACTCATAGGGCTTTCTGTTTTGTGTTAAAGTCAATGAGGAAATATGCTTTTGGATCCAAATAATCTTAGAGTTAAGATGAATCTTTACTAATCAGATTTAGGTGGGTGCTTTATAGATTTCATCCAAAATTTCAAAAGCAGCAATACTGATTTCAAAATTATGAAGTGGCTCTACAATTCTATTTCAGAATATACTGTTCTCGGGCCGGCTCCATGGCCGAGTGGTTAAGTTTACGCACTCCGCTGCTGCGGCCCAGGGTTCGGATCCTGGGCGCGGACATGGCACCGCTCGTCAGGCCACGTTGAGGAGGCCTCCCACATCCCACAACTAGAAGGACCTGCAACTAAGATATACAACTGTGTACTGGGGGGGGTTGGGGAGATAAAGCAGGAAAAAAAAAAAATTGGCAACAGTTGATAGCCCAGGTGCCAATCCTTAAAAAAAAAAAGGAAGATTGGCAACAGTTGTTAGCCCAGGTGCCAATCTTTAAAAAAAAAAAAAAAGAATATACTGTTTAATTCAACACATATCTACCTAACAAAACAGAGGGAGGTCACCCTGTAAAACACCCCTGCCTCAACAGGAAGCTGTAGTATGATAGTGCTACAACTACTACATTTCCTCCAAAAGGGAGAAGTTTGCCATTAGAAGAGCTGCCATAGGAAAGAGTCCAATCCCTCATGGGGGGCAGCAAGTGGGTCCAGACTTCCACTGCACTGAGTCGGAACTGTGGCAACCCAGTCAAGTTGGAGCCACCACCCCAAGGGCTTGAAGGAAATGTTGCTATTGTGGGAAGCAGAGTTTTATCCTCAATCCCATTGAGGATAAGGCAACCAAGTAAAAGGATATATACAGATAACAAGGGGGAAATAAGGTGAATAAAACAATCTTACTGGCTAAAATGGAATTTGTTTGAATAAATTATCACAAAGCGAATTTTCTTGAAACCAAGCAATAGAAAGGATGCTATACTTTGATGGCTCAGAAGACCCAATGAGATTGTTAATTCCTTTAATGTATGCACGCACACACACACACACACGTTTTCCTTAGAAATATTCATTGTTTCAGTATGAAACCAAGTATTTTTATACTACTTCCCCATTTTCTAAAGCTCCTGGGAAGTGCTTGTACTTGCAGAGTGTGTCTTTAGAAATGACAGATAAGGGGCCAGCCCAGTGGCGCAGCAGTTCAGTGTATACGTTCCGCTTCTCGGCGGCCTAGGGTTCACCAGTTTGGATCCCAGGTGCAGACACGGCACTGCCTGGCAAAAAGCCATGCTGTGGCAGGCATCCCACATATAAAAAGTAGAGGAAGATGGGCACAGATGTTAGCTCAGGGCCAGTTTTCCTCAGCAAAAAGAGGAGGATTGGCAGTAGTTAGCTCAAGGCTAATCTTCCCCCGCCTAAAAAAAAACACGACAGATAAGCACAGATGAGACCCAGAGCAAAGTGCCAACTTCCTTACCTTCCACAGATCAGGCGATCCTTCCACAAGTTTGGCTTTCGTGTGACAGTATTTTAGAGCCAATTGCAAACACTCAGTTCCAAATTCCAAGTCATAGTCACTACACTAGGTAAAAAAAAAAAAAAGAGTTAAACTAAAATAGAATTTTAATTAAAATTAAACCTTTTATTTCATAATCAATTGCATACAGAAAAGGGGCCAGAGAACTCATAAACTCTTTAATCAGCTACTGATTAATCAAGTCATAGAACAATTTTCCCTATGCCCTAAAAGCCAAACAAAACAAATAGAAAATAGAAATGTTGCGGTCATAAGAGTTTTGAACTTCCTCAATAGTTTCAGGTGTCAGATTAAATATAATACTTTATTTCCTTTGCTCACAAACCACATTTCTAAACGTGTTTCTAAAATGCCTGAAGGCATGGGTGAGGCTCACCGTATCAGAACTTGAATTTAAGAAATATATGTATCCATAAAAACCCAAATCCCCCATCTTATATTTGCATCAAGATATTTGCAGATCACAGCTCTCTTCTTCATTTTAATATTTAAAATATCAATATATCCTTTTTTAAAAGGATATTTAGATTCTGAACATAAAAACAGTTCATCCTTTCATTGTGAGAAAAAAATGTAAAGGCCTCCCCTAGATCTAGTAAAATACAAGCATTTTAAGCAGAACCACCACAATAATGAATGTAATATAATTTAGCTGAATAATACTGAGGACTTATCATGTCTAAGCTTTGTATTAAGTACCTGCATATAAATTTAAATAGTCACGTATTATTTCCTCCGGTAACTCAGGCCTAGAAGGGGAGGCTGATCTACAGCAAATATTTTGCAACAGAATGTGATGGATGAAGCACTAGAAGCATATCCAGAAGTAGTCGAGGGATAAAATATTTAACACTGTGTGAGTGCACCAGGGAAAGCCTATCAGAGGAAAAGGTCTCTGATCTCCTCTTTAAATACTGAATAAAACTGGAGGAGAGAGATATGTCTTTAAGGCAAAAGGTGCCATAGGAAGTTACAGAGGTGTCAGACATCTGGAAGATTCTCATTTTAGAAAGAGCATATCCATATAAAAAGTACTTCAGGAAAGCAATGAATATGAATATGCCATTTACCACCCTTTATCAACGGTTTGTGAAATTAATGGACAAGAAAATATAATGGTCAAATATACACAGTTTCCCAAATCAACCAAAACAGTCTCAGTTTAAATTTTCTATTCTGATATACTCCATAACATGACATATTTCCTATGTATTTTCATTTTTAACATAGTATTATCAGCAGTGGTCACATTTAAACAAGTTAAGATGAATTTTGGTAAACCTCCACTTGGTACTTCCAGCATCTTCACAGTCTCATCTGCTAGTATGTGAGATGTACGTACAGTGAACAGAGTTCTCTCTTTAACACAAGGTTAAATACCAAAGATTGCTAGTAACAACCCTTTTCCTGACTCTTTCCAAAGCACGATATCAAAAATATTCTTGGTCGGGGTCGGCTTGGTTAAGTTCACGCACTCCACTGTGGCGGCCCAGGGTTCGGATCCTGGGCGCGGACATGGCACCGCTCGTCAGGCCACGTTGAGGAGGCCTCCCACATCCCACAACTAGAAGGACCTGCAACTAAGATGTGCAGCTGTGTACAGGGGCAGTTTGGGGAGATAAAGCAGAAAAAAAAAAAAAGATTGGCAACAGTTGATAGCCCAGGTGCCAATCTTTAAAAAAAAAAAAAGTTAAAAAAAATATATTCTTGAACAGCCTTAAAAATGCTCACAAAGTACATACTCAGAGGAGCCCATAGGAAGAGCTACTTCTTTCCCATCTTGGGTGGTGGCGAGAGAATAACTTGATGCTGTGCTCCTGCCAGCCATGCGATGTACTAGCCAACATAGCAACAGCCTACAAATTACATGAAGCCTTTATCATCCCAGTCACCAGGGTCAATAGGAAACCTGAAAAGTTGTAGGTCAGGTATATATATGAAATATACACCAGAAATAGAGGCTGAGCAATCATGGAAAAAAGAGTAGTCTGAATTTGTCATTCATTGTATAGACCAATATTACCACGACTTATAGGATTTGGGGTAATTTTTTTGCAATAGAACCTTGCTTTCACAATGAATTCAAGAAATCCATGCTTACCAAAAAATTCCGAATTTCTGTTTCTCAAGAACATTGATGATGGATTTCTACTTTTGTCTGGGATATAGAAAGCTGAGAAAAAAATGATGCTCATTTCTGAACAAAAGATAAGGCAGATAAACTACAAAAGCACCACTTTTTCTTGAACCCATCGAAGTTGAGGTCACCAGATGACAAAATAGCCTTAAATCTAAGGAAAAGCACCCCTCCCCGCAAGGAGAAAGAGGATGCCACCACCAGCTCACCTGTGGCAGAACATAAAAGAAAGAAACACTGGGCGTTGCATAGGCAGGTAAGACGAAATCAGCTACAAATTTCAAGAAACTGCTAAATACTGAGTGGAGGCTACTGGGCGAATATAGAACCTCTTAGAGCCTCAGTCACAACAGGATTTACAGAATTTACACCCATTTGCAGCCTCCTCTTCAGCAACCTGCTACTGGGTGCTCATAAAGTGGTGTAATATTATTTGAAGGTGACTGTGATAAGATATACATTCTAAAGTCCAGGCAATCACTAAACAAACATTTTTTAAGTTAAAAATAAGAAGTCAATAGTGGTAAGATACAATCAAAAAAAAGGCAAAATTAATACAATGACAAACAGAAAAACAAAAAAGAACAAGGAACAGGTGGAACAAATAGAAAACCACCAGCAAGATGGTAGATTTTAATCAAGAAAGTTAATCAATGTGTAAGTGTACAAAATGACATTTACTACTATCCAGGATGGGGGTCACAGTGATATCACTGATCACATGAGAAATACACACACACAGATGCTGATAACCATCTGCCTCCCTAAACTTGGTGCCCAAAATAGTGGAACAATGTTCTCCCCAGGCAGCAGTCCTAAGGACACTGTTTTCAGAGGTCCCTGGATACACAGTCTAGCCCAGTCACATTACAGTGAAGCTCATGAAGCTCACAGCCGACTAGCCCCACTTACAAAACCCACCAAGTCCAATCACTTCAAACACAAGCATGAGCAGAAAACCCACATTTAACTGAAACACAAGGAGAGACTCTAACGTGAAAGATAAGACCAAAAAGGAAAAAAAAAGTATGGTATTTTGGAGGAAGTGGAAACTATGCAGTAAAAAAAAGATAAAGATGAAGTGTTTATACTCGTAAAATAAGACAGCATAATATCTCAAAGGATGGAAAATGTGAGAGAAAAAGATAACAGATGACTTGATCACATAGGCCAATATTTAAAGAAAAAAAAAGAAAAGTGGGAAGGAAAGAACAAAAAAGGGTATGATAAGGGGGCTGGCCTGGTGGCACAGTGATTAAGTTCACACATTCCACTTCAGTGGCCCGGGGCTCGCCAGCTCAGATCCTGGGTGTGGACCTACGCCACTTGTCAAGCCACGCTGTGGCAGCGTCTCACATATAAAATAGAGGAAGATGGGCATGGATCTCAGTACAGGGCCAGTCTTCCTCAGCAAAAAGAGGAGAATTGGTGGCAGATGTTAGCTCAGGGCTAATCTTCCTCAAAAACAAACACCACCAATAACAACAAAAACTGTTTTCTGTCTCTATGGGTTTGCCTTTTCCCGAATGTAATATACTTGGAATCATGCAGTACATAGCGTATTCAGATTGCCTTCTTTCACTCAGTAATATGCTTTTAAGATTCCTCCACATCTTTCATGTCTTGATGGATCACTTTTTAGCAGTGAATAATATTCCATTAGCTGGATGTACCACAATTTGTGTATGCATTCACCTACTAAGGGACATCTTGGATGCTTCCAAGTTTTGGCAATTATGAAAAAAGTTGGTATGTTTTTCTGTAGATATAAGTTTTCAACTCATTTCAGTAAATTGAAGAAGTGCAATTGCTGGGTCAGTAAATTGAAAAAGTGCAATTGCTGGGTCATACGGTAAGACTATGTTTAGTTTTGTAAGCAACTGCCAAACTGTCTTCAAAAGTGGCTGTACCATTTTGCATTCCCACCAGCAATGAATGAGAATCCCTATTACTCCACATCCTCACCATCATTAGGTATTGTCAGTGTTCTGGATTTTGACCTCTCTGATAGATGTGTGGTGCTATCTCATTGTTGTTTTAATTTGCGTTTTCCTAGTGGCATATGATGTGAAGCACATTTTCATATGCTTATTTACCATCTGTGTATCTTCTTTGGTGAAGTGTCTCCTCAGATCTTTTACCATTTTATTAATTGAGTTGTTCATTTTCTTATTGTTGATTTTTAGGAGTTCTTTGTATATTTTGGATAACAGTCCTTTATCACATGTCTTTTGCAAATATATTCCCCCAAATTGGGGCTTGTCTTTTCATTCTCTTCAAAGCATGTTTTGAAGAGCAGAAGTTTTTAATTTTAATGAAGTCCAGCTTATCAGTTCTTTCTTTCATAGATCATGCCTTTGTTATCGTACCTAAAAAGTAACCACAACCCCTGGTCATCTAGGTTTTCTCCAATGTTATCTTTAAAAGTTCTATAGCTGTGTTTTACATTTAGGTCTATGATCCATTTTGAGTTAATTTTTGTGAAGAATATAAAGTCTGTGTCTAGATTCATTTTTTTGCATGTAGATGTCCGGTTGTCCCATCACCAATTATTGAAAAGACTCTCTCTGTTCCATTGTATTGGCTTTGTTCCTTTGACAAAAACCAGTTGACTATATTTACATGGGTCTACTTCTGGGCTCTCTATTTTGTTCCATTGAGTGATTTGTCTGTTCTTTCACCAATACCACACTGTCTTGATCACCATAGTTTTACAAGAAGCCTTGAAGTTGAGTGGTGTCAAGTCTTCCAACTTTGTTCTTTTCCTTCATATTACATGGGCAATTCTGGATCTTTTGCCTCCCCATATAAACTTTAGAAAAGTTTAGCAATAAACATTTTACCAATATCTACAAAAAACTTGCTGGGTTTTTTGATTGGGATTGCATTCAGTGTACAGATCAAATTG